AGGACTATAGAGATGGCCGGCTCTATGATGATAACCCCACAGCACTGCCAGACTGGGAGAGCCTGGACTTCCTCTCCTGCTGCCTGTAAAAGCAATCCAATGGCTAATCAGGCGCTAGGATGTCTTTTACATTATAGGGAATTGGTGGCTGAAAAAAAAAGATACCAGGATGATGCCTGTAGCTGCAGATATCATCCCAGTATTTTTCTGCTTCAAGTCCAGGACATCATATAATGTCCTACGGGCAGGAAACAGTTAAAAATACATAACATTTTCATTATAAACTATCTGCCAAAAATGTGAAATAATGAATTTTCTTTAGAGTTGGCTTTAATTAAAGGGCACCTTAGCACTTGCACTGTGACTAAAGCAGACACAACACAATTTCTAGCCATCAAATCCACTTCACCATTCCACAATCCTTTCTTTTCTTCCTTCCACTGGGGAATACAGGTTTACAGCAGTCTGTCGAGGAACATAATTAACTCACAACAGGTGGATGTCATGAAACATTTTTTCCGACCTATTGAAGTTGAGCATTTCTCCCCTCCAGCACAATTCAAGCTCTTCAAGGTATAATGAATGAGCACAATGTCACACACAAACTGTCGGCACCAATCTAGGTGACATGCAGCAGCTCCACATTGAATGGTTCAGCCCAGAACTGGTGGAGTGCCATAAAATACAGATTATATAAAACTGAAGGGAAGAAAAAAGGAAGGGGTGAGTTACCCATAGCAACATCTTATTAAAAAAAAATTTAATGTTTTTGATTTGACTGTTAAGTACAACATTTGGCTTTCCTGCTGCTCAGGATAAAAAGAAAAAAAATGCCTCATAATGAAATGTTATCCTGTAAGATTTTTGCAATAAACTTTAGGATTTTGTTATTTTATCTGGTCTTTTATACTGTATATTTTTCCCTGTTTTAAAGGTTTATAACATTTGCATTTAGCCACTTTAGCCACTATTTCACCCCAATGACACCAACAATAGGACTCTATATCTCAATCTGATGCCAATAGAGGGGCATTATTCCTCCCACTGACACAATTGGGCACTATTCCTCCCGCTGACACCAACAATTGGGCACTATTCTTCCCACTTACACCAATGAAGGGGCGCTACTCCACTACCTAATACCAAAGATGTGTTGTTTATTCTCACTGATGCCGGGACAATTTCTACTCTCAATGGCCACAGTCTGGCCCCCCGAAAGTCTGATGGACAGTAAACTGGCCCTATGTTTAGAAAGTTTGGAGACCCTTGCATTTGAGCATGAAACTGTGTGTATAACATGCGAGATAAAGGCTTAGTCCACCTTTGTTATCATGTCTCATGCTACACCTATATTTATTTTAGAATATTAAACATGATCACATTTCCCAAACACCCACACTCACATCCCTCCCACTTCCCTGAATTAGGGGGTGCTTCTGTACCTCTGTATGGACCTGGAACAGTGGAGTAAAAATGCAGGAGCCTGTGCATTGCACTAGTGATGCACTGACCACTGCTCTACAGGAAGACATTTAATGAATGCATGTTTTTTTTTTCATTAACAGGGGTGCATTTGCTAAATTTTTGCAAAAGGTGGACTATGCCTTCAGTTCATGCACACAAATTAAGTGGATCAGCTCTTTCTCCCATGTTCCCATAGCCAACTGGTTTTTGTGCATTTTTTTGTTACCTTTTCCTGTTGGATAAGCTTCCTTCTTGGTTTTCTCCCATTATTGGGTGGTCCTGGATGATGCAAAAAGCGTTGACAGCAGCCCCACACTTTGCATCAATACAGGGTGCTGTGCTCACATAGGACCAGATTGCTTCTTTTTACAACAACCTCGGGGATATTTTAAATATTAAATATTTAGCCTGACATTAGGTTTAGTTGGAGGTGCTGGATGTTTTAAAGTGTAGAAAAGAGACTCAAATTTAAATCAAACAAATGCAAAATGAACCTTACCTTTTTTTTGGTAAATTGTAATATCTTTGTGTTGACCAAATTTTTTTTAGCCAGTTCTAACATTTTAATAAATATAATTGAACATGTCTATGTTGCATAACCTTTACAGTAGCATTATACATAAATATGGGTGGGTGGGCCTTAACCCCCAGTCGCCTCATATATGCATTGCTGTCTTGTTCCAGGGCGCTCTCCATTGGCAGCCCCAGAACTGTGGCCAAGTTGTCACTGACAGCTCATGGTCAACTAATGGCATTTAGGAGCTTGTAGGCATGGCTCCCAATGACTTCAATACTGAGTAGTTAATAGCAGTACAGCAAGTACAGGAGCCTCATCAACTGGCTTTCGGCACCACTGTCCATGGTGTGCCAGCTCTGGATGGCAACAAGGAGTTCAACTCTTGTTATTGTTCTCCTCATGCAAGATAAAAAACCAAAGCCAAGTCTAAACTTTTTTCATTTCAGTAAAGTGGGGAACAGTTAAGGCGGCCATACATAGATTGAAATGTGGCAGGTTTAGCAGGGACCAGTAGAACCTCAATCTATGCATGGGAAGTCTGGTTGTATAGAAGTCAATCTACCAATAAACTTCTGTACAACCAGCCTGTCGAGTTTTTCCCGAATGTTCAGTGTTGCTGGCTATAGCCGACAACACTGATCAGTGTGTTCTGTAGCAGGGAAGACTCCTCAGCATCAGAATGCAATAGTACAATGGGGAGGATTCCCCCATCCATCTTGAACGTGTGGATAGGGGAATCAGGTCAGTTTTTATCATTCAGCCTGCTGGTTGAATGAAAAAAAATTAATAATGTATGGCCAGCTGTAGGTTGTGCTCAAATGTTTACATTTACACAGATACAGGTTAGAGGCCAAGGATGTAGACAGCGTGTTTCCAGGGCTGCTCACCTGTCCTGATATGGATGTAAATGCTTTGATGTGCAAACATCTGCAGTGTCTGTCAGCCTGCCATTGATCCCTAGAAGCTGTTGTCCACAGTTGCACACAACCACCTGTGACTCCTGGGCCCACACTCCTTTGTACTCTGTACAAGTCCCCCACAGCTGTGTGAATCAGTCCTTAGAACCTCAGTCAGGTTTTAAATGTTGTTTGTATCCCCATGAGAGAATTTCTCTTCTCTTCCTGTTTTGGTGGACAACCGTCACTTGGACAGGAAATTGGAAACATGTTTCCTAATGGGAACCCAGACATCAATAAAATCTTGACAGAGAGTTTAAACCCCTTCACTGTGCTAGAAACATTTTTTTTTATTGCTGGCTGCGCTTCAGGGATTTTCCCTTGTTTCCTGTTCTGTCTGACACCCATGAAACACACAGTAAATAGGGGGATTATTTATTACTTCCTATTTTGTTTGGCAACCCTCAAATTAATAGTAAATACTTGTACAAATCCCCCCAGTGAGGACACAGGCAGGCAATAAAAAGTTGTCAGATGTGTAGCCCATCTCTGCAGTGCTGCACTGCTCTGCAGCATGGACTGGGCTGCTTCTGTACTGCCATCTCCATATTTTCTTTCTCCCTTTCAAGCTTCCAGAGAGGGCCTAGGTGCATGTTAGGCCAGGCATAGCCGAAGATGCCTCAGCGGTGATGACCTGGTGTTCCACCCTGTCAGGCATGGGGACCCTGGGCAGCCTGTGCAAAATGTTGGTTATGTGTTAGAGAAGACACTGGTAGCTTGTGATGAGGCAGAACTTGGTTTACTTGTGTGGCTTAAGTTGCAAACATACAGAACACTTCAGTAATGTGTAACAGCAGACATCTTGGTTTTGAAGAGAGAGAGAGAAGAGAGAGAACCAACAGGTTTTACACATATGCACAACTGGTAACCTTAGTGTACAGTGCCATCTACTGGTCAAGTGATATTAACACACAATACTGTATATAGTACATGCTGTTGTATTCCCAACACAAAAGGACCTCAGAATGCCATTAGCATGGCTGCCATTACAAATCATGGGAATCTACACATCCTGCCTAACAAAGAGAATTAAAGTTCCAGCCTTGCCCCTGGGATTGATGTAGAAGAAGAGACTGAAACTTTAAATTAATTGTCGGGATTACTCTGAAAATAGTTCCTTCTTTGTCCCTGATCCCTGCTTCTGAATTGGTGGGGCGCAGGGAACTTTATTTTAATCGCTGGGAGCCATGGTCAGTGGGATTATTGTGCATGAACCCAAAGGTATTCAAAGAGTCCCCTTTCTGGCCCTTGCTCCCTGTAGAATTGAAGGGGCCCAGGCCCAGTAGAGAAGGGCTGGCTCTTCCCATAATTGGCTGCCCTGGCTACCAGGTTCATCCAAGTCAAACAGAAAGGAGTAATGCTACACTATATTCAGTCCTGCTACTATACACACCTACCAGCCCTCTGACTCAGCCTTCTTAACCTGGGTGCCCAGTCTCCCTGGGATGCCTTGAGGATTCTTCAGGAGTGTTATTGGCAAAATGTCTAAAAATTGCCCAAAACTTGTATACAAGCCAGCGGGTAGAACAAGCAGGCCTTTTAGTTACACAAAGCCACAGGTTTACATTGAGCACCATTACGACCTTCTAGCCACCAGCATCCTGGCAACCAATGACATCATCATTTGATAAGGCGGATGTCAGCTGCCTGCACAGCATCCTAGATTGACCCTCCCCTGCCCCTCTATATCAGTGCTGGGGCCACATTAGCTCATTGATGGAGAAAAACGGAGGGAGAGGAGAAAACATTGGAATACTAGTCAGTACCAGTGTGCAAAAGTGTATTTGCTTTGGAAGAATAAATCACCTCTAACGTTGGGTGTCCTACATGTGTGAATATTGCTGCATTATATAAAACTATTAGAATAGTTTTTCACATTTTAGAATAGGGTGCCCTTTTAAAATGATGGACAGTCTTGAGGCACTCAACTTTAGAATGAGGTGCCTCAAGACTGTTCATAATTTTAAAGGGTGCCTCGGGACTGTCCATAATTTTAAAGGGGGCCTTGACTGAAAAAAGGTTGATAAACACTGCTCTGACTGGACAGTAGAGCAAGGTTAGAACACACACAGGGGCGGACTGACAACTCATAGGGCCCCTGGGCAATAGGGGATCATGGGGCCCCTGTGTCCTTGCCCAAACTCAAAAAAGCTTATGAAAAAGGTACCAGGGGCATCTCATGGGGCCCCCTACTGACCCCGGGCCCTCGGGCAGTGCCCGAGTTTCCAAATGGTCAGTCCACCCCTGAACACACACTATTATCTCGCTGCTAACTTTGCCCTATTCTCCCATCACACATACAAAAGAGCTTCACTTTCTGTATGTACTGGCCCTGCCTCTTCCAGTCTGTGTGCTGTGTGCTGGGATTATAGGAGGCTGATATCAAGAAAAATGTACCCTAGTTTTAATGTTTTTTTAATTATTGCATGGCATGCATTAAAAGGATTTGTATATTTGATTGGATTTCAGCTTTAAATCTGCATTAAGGCATTGCAAATTAAAGCAACAGTTTAGCAGAGAGTTACTGCATTTGATTTTGTGTTGATGGCACATTTTCAGTGAATGTGAATAGGACACAAAAGTGAGTGACACTACCTGACAAAATCTAAAGCCAATATTCTTGTGTGGAAAACTACTGCAAAGTATTTCAGGCAGCTTGCCTGTGTCTTGTCTTCGTGTGCCAGGGTTACATTTGGAAAGACCCACATCCTGCGCCTCTTCTCTTTTGGGAAAGACATCCAGCTCATTGTGTTTGATAACGTTTCATGTAAAAGACTGATTTTATTATGTGTACAACTTCTTTTGTCTTGGATATGTTTTCTCTGTTCAGAAAAATAGTTTTTATCCCCTACACCTCAAAGATGTCTATTTCCTTTTTTAAATATGCTGTCAAGAAGAGAAGGTAGCACAACAATGGAAAGTTAAAAACTTTATTTAACCACTTCAATACCAGGCACTTTCACCCTCTTCCTGGCCAGGCCAAATTTCAGCACTGTCACACTTTAAATAATAATTACACGGTTGTGCAACACTGTACCCAAATGAAATTTGTATTATTTTTTTGTGCACAAATAGAGCTTTCTTTTGGTGGTATTTAATTGCTAAAAAAAGAAAAAAGACCCAAAAAATATAAAAACAAAACTTGGTTTTCTTCATTTCTGTTATAAAATGTTGCAAATAAATAATTGTTCTTCACAAATTTAGGCCAAAATGTGCTCTGCTACATTTATTTGGTGAAGAGAACCCATATCAGTGTTTATTATTTAGTCTGTAGGAAAGTTGTAGAGTCCACAAACTATGGTATATATCTGAAAATTGATCGGTCCTGATGTACTGACAGCATATCTTATTTCTGGGGCCCGAAAATGTCAGGACAATACAAATACCCCCCAAATAACCCCTTTTGGAAAGTAGACAGTCCAAGGTAATTAGTAAGAGGCATGGTGAGTTTTTGCCGTATTTTTTGGAAAATTAAGAAATTTTATTTTTAATTTTTATTAATTTGTTTTCTTGTTTATGATTTTTTTTTTTTTTAACAAACTGTGACCAGAGCAATACAATGTTACCATAGTAACATTTTACTACTCTACAATTAACACATTATGATTGATTGTAGCAGTGAATTTCATTACTACAAACACGCATTTTACTGAATGATATCGATTAGTTAAGCATTGTTGTGATTAGCTGTGATTGCCCGATCTGTGATCACTGTGACCAATCACAGCTAGCAACACAACTGTACACAATGAATGGCATGAGAGAAAACCATTCATTATTTACAATTGTCATGTGATCTGCTGTGATTGATCACAGCAGATCACATGGTACCGGAAGCGGACCAAGACAGTGATCTGTCATTGGCTGTGTCCGGTGGCCACACAGCTGCGTGCAAGGTGTGTTCCAGAGGACATCATATGACGTCCACCCAGACCTTAGAAAGTGGTTATAACTGAATTTCTGGCAGATATGAAAGAAACAAATAATGCAGGTCGGTATTCATTAATATATCCTTAACCTCTTCTCATCGGCCCTTTGCATATATGCAACCTCTTAGTGCGTGAAATTTAAAGAGATTCTAAAGGTTTATTTTTTGGGGGGAAAATAATAAACATGCTATATTTACCTGCTGTGTTCCATTCTCACCATGCATGCGCGACTCAGGGAGCACGCAGCGCGGCAATCGACAGTGCTCTGTGTCCCTCGGACACAACGGATCACCGATCCACGGAAAGAGCCAAAGATGTCGGTTCGGTCATGTGATCAGCTGTGTCCAACCACAGCTGATCACATGTAAACAGGGAAATGCCGGTTATCGGCATTTCTCTCCTCTCGAGCTGTCACGCTGACAGCTCGAGAGGAGAGGAGAGCCGGTAATCAGCATTCCACGGAGGGGACATGTACACTGATGATCAGTGTGCCCCTATGATCAGTGTGGCCCCAGAATTGCCACCTGTCAGTGTCCATCAGTGCCAGCTGTCAGTGCTGAACAGTGCCACGTGCCAGTGCCCATCAGTGCCACATCAATGCCACATATCAGTGCCTACCAGTGCACATCAATGCCACATATCAGTGCCCATCTGAGCTGCCCTTCAGTGTCACCTATCAATGCCAATCAGTGCCACCTATCAGTCCTGCCAATCAGTGCCACCTATCAGTGCCACATATCAGTGCCAGTCAGTGCCACCTATCAGTGCGCATCAGTGCCGCCTATCAGTGCCATTCAGTGCTGCCTATCAGTGCTAGTCAGTGCCACCTAACAGTGCCAGTCAGTGCCACCTAACAGTGCCAGTCAGTGCCGCATATCAGTGCCAGGCAGTGCCGCCTATTAGTGCCGCCTATCAGTGCCATATATCAGTGCTGCCTTTCAGTGCCCACCAGTGATGCCTGTCAATGCCCATCAGTGCCACCTACTAGTGCCTCCTCATCAGTGCCCATCAGTGCCACCTATCAGTGTCCATCAGTGCATCTTATCAGTGCCCATCACTACAGCCTCATTAACACACATCAGTGAAGGAGAAAAATCACTTATTTACAAACTTTTATAACAAAAACTAAGAAAAAACATTTTTTTTTTTTCAAAATTTTCAGTGGTTTTTGGTTTGTTTAAGAAAAAATAAAAAACCCAGAGGTGATTAAATAGCACCAAAATAAAGCTCTATCTGTCACAAAACAATGATAAAAATTTCATATGGGTACAGTGTTGCATGACTGCGCAATTGTCATTCAAAGTGTGACAGCGCTGAGAGCTGGAAATTGGCCTGGGCAGGAAGGGGGTATAAATGCCCAGTAGGTAAGCGGTTAAAGAGATACATACAGAGAAATACAAACATTTATAAATATTCTGTGCAAAACAACTCTTGAGACACTTGCATTAAATCCCAGCTCTTGTGCGGTTCCCCTGAGATGTTCGGGTGTTTTTGGTTACTTGGCATGCACCAGTACCTGTTTCTTTCTCCGTGATCCAAAATAAATAATACATCCAATAAGGACTCTCTCATAATGGCCACAATATGTATGCCTTCCTAGAAACTCAAAGGCAGAGATATCACCAACAGAGTCCCTGAAAAATAATCAGGTGGTTTAATCCTTTACCATCTATGAAAAACTGAAACAGCAATTTAGGGTGAACTGACCCTTTAATTGGTTTCCTTCCAAGACTGGCGCTGGCATGTATGTGCATAGCAGGAATATTGGCCTGGAAGCTTCTTCCGGAAACAGAGAATGATTGGTTCTCCGTACTCCGTAAAGCACTAATACTTTATGTCAGCACTGCATAAATATGAGAAATAAAGAAAATCATTGTTTACAATACCTTGTAGAGTGTTTGTCAAGCGCATGGCAAATTCTTATCATTAATAACTGAGAAATTCTAGAACATCTGCATGATCCATCACATACCTCTAGTGTACTGAACAGCTGCTTCCATGCTGACAGACATCTAAATAATGTGTGCAAGAATTCCTATACATTAACTCCAGCATTGCATGCATTTGCTGGCACTACGTATATGGGCGACAGGAAAATTACACCCAGGGTTTATTTTCCCTTAGACAGACAGATGAGCATATGGATACTGTTTATGGTATACAGAAACATTATTGTAATGCCTGTTTAAATTTATATATATACGCATGTCCTTAATGTGACTGTGGGATGTTCCTATAATAAAGCAAAGTGAAAATTCTGTTTCAGGCAAAACTGTCCTAGGGTGGCATTAGATGAAATTATCATGTTGATACTATGTACTAATAACAGGTTATAAATAAAATATAATGATGTAGAGTGTTAATTTAAAGCAGAAGTGTATCATATTCTTTATTATTATTATTATAATAATACAGGATTTATATATTTCTCAGCGCTTTACAAAATATAACAGGAGACAATATAGTAACAATACAGTTCAATACAAGAGGGTTGGAAGGGCCCTGCTCCTGGGAGCTTACTATCTAATAGGGAGCGGCTGATGGTACAAAAGATAATAACTGTGGGGGATGAACCGATGGGAGAAACAGAAGATTCAGTTATTAGCCGAAGGCAAAATAGTCTTCTCTGAAGAGATAGGTTTTCAGAGATCGCCTTAAAGTGGGCAGAGTAGGTGATAGTCGGACAGATTGGGGCAGAGAGTTCAAGAGGATGGGGGAGGCTCTGGAAAAGTCCCGGAGATGAGCATGAGAGGAAGAGACAAGGGAGCTAGAGAGCAGGATGTCTTGGGAGGAGTGGAGAGAACGGTTTGGATGATATTTGGAGACAAGATTGGTGATGTAATTTGTGGCAGAGTTGTAAATGTCTTTTTATGTTATTGTTAATATTTTGAATTTTATTAATTAGGTAATGAAAAGCCAGTGGAGAGCTTGGCAGAGAGGGATGGCAGACCTGGAATGGTTGGTAAGGTGGATGAGTCTGACAGCAGCATTCATGATAGACTGAAGAGGGGATAACCTGTGATTAGGTAGGCCAGTGAGGAGGAAGATACAATAGCCAAGTCAATAGTCGAGGTGAAGTTTCCAAGATTTGGACAGTGATTGGATTTGGTGCTGAAAGGGCAGATCGGACTTCAGGATTACACCTAGTACCCTAGCATGAGGGGAGGGACTGATGGTTGTATTATTGATCTTGATGGAGAAGTCAGAGGAGGGGGCACGGGCTGGAGGGAATATTATGAGCTCAGTTTTAGAAAGATTGAGTTTGAAGAAATGGTGTGTGACATCCATGCTGATATGTCAGTTAGTAATACGAGAAGAGACGACAAAGATTGGATAACAAGGTATTAATATGAGTGACAAAGTAGGCTTTTTTGGCAGCATGGAGGGAGG